TCACATGCGATAGCCTAGTAGCCGGGACAACTTCTTTATGTTTACAGACGTGACGTAATGACGCAGCAGCATGCTCGAATTTCCTACGAAAACCTACCCGTACCACTCAAATTAGAAAACATTATTATAAGCTAACCGTTGTGAATCGGACTAAAGTAAGGTGATAGTTTCGAACACTGGCTGGTTATGTACTTGCTCAAATATTAATTTCGCATAATTTTTAACCAAAAAAAGTTACGGACTGCAGCTTTAACTTGCATTTCTCTCTGTAGGCACATCCACTATACTTCATCTTTGCAGCCGACGCGAACTCAAATACTAGTTTATTTATGTGTATGCTTGAGCACTTCATGCACTTCATTAAAATCCACTCTCTAAAGATGTGCTTTAGCCTGAGAGAAATATAATTTTCATCTTAACATTCTTAACATGCCACCCAGAGTACGTTTTTTTCAGCTTTTTTTTTTTTCAGAGTACATGTGAATTCAGCTGTTCCTAAATTTTTTTCACAAATTTAAAAGAAATTGTAGTATAACATTTTTTTGGTGAAATTATTATTATTATTTTGAAAACGTTCATATGCTGATTTCACACACACATTAGTGAATTGGACTCGCTGAAAGCAGAGGACCTAATAGTGAGCCCTGTGGCACTCCATACTTGTGTGTGATGAGATGTCTCTTCATGTAGAAGTGGTCAGGTATATGAGGCATTAATTAATTCTTGTCCACAAATACCAAAATAATTCTCAAGTTATCTAAGAGAATGTTGTGGTCTGTGTTGTCACAGCACAGATCTAATAGCACCTTAAGAAATGTATGCAATCATGATTACATGTTAAAAAAAAATAATTTGTAGCCTTAATAAGCACAGTTTCTGTACTACAATGGGACTTAAATACTGACTGAAGATGGTCACAATTACTCAACATGGCAGAGAGGACAATATGTTTTTTGTATGTTATTTTTGATGTAAATGGCAAATTTGAGATGTCTATAATTAACCAGTTTTCCTTAATCAAGCCATTTCATACGGTGTTCATAACTGCCAGCTTGAAAAAGGATTTGGGACATTTCCTAAAGAAAGCAAAGAGTTAACAGTATTGAAAAGAAGATTACCAACAACACCTTTCAGTAGCTTGTTGGTGGTGTCTAGAACACCTGTTGTTGGGTTTTATGGTTCATATGTCTAAATGTTTTGATGTCTGTTGCTTTGTGCCATTAAAATGGGGTTAACTTGTATTGGTTTCTCTTTGCTTTAGACTTGATGTCACGTAAAGAGGAGAGACAAGAATGGAATGAAATGGAAGACAAAGATCAGTATGAGATGCATCATAAATTGGTGGTTTCTCCAGTGAAGTCAAGTTGCTCACAGACTAAAAAGACTTCATCACGAAAAAGAGCTCAAAAGACAGGAGCTATACGTCATTTCGCCTGCCAACAATGTGGAAAGATTTTCACTGTAAAAAGAAACCTTGATGTTCATACTAGAATTCACACTGGAGAAAAGCCTTACAGCTGCCAGCAGTGTGGGAAATGTTATATTAAAAAGGGAACCCTTAAAGACCACATGAGAACTCACACTGGAGAGAAACCGTACACATGCCCTCAATGTGGAGTAAGTTTCACTCAAAAAGGAATCCTTGAAAGGCACATTAGAATTCACACTGGAGAGAAGCCGTTCACCTGCCAAGAGTGTGGAAATAGCTTCATTCGAAAAGGATGTCTTAAAGGCCACATGAGAATTCATACTGGAGAGCAGCCTTACAAATGCTCTCAATGTGGAAAGAGTTTTACATATAAACAAGGTCTTAATGCACACATGAAAATTCACACAGGAGAGAAGCCTTACATATGTGATGAGTGTGGAAAGAGTTTCTATCAACAAGGATACCTCAAATTCCACATGAGGAGTCACTCTGGAGAGAGTCCTTTCACCTGCCAACAATGTGGAAAGAGTTTTACAAGAAAAGCAAACCTTGAAGTCCACATGAGAATCCACACTGGAGAAAAGCCGTTCATATGCCCTCAGTGTGCAAAGAGTTTCCATCAACCAGCAAACCTCAGAGTCCACATGAGAATTCACACTGGAGAGAAACATTTTACCTGCCAACAGTGTGGAAAGAGTTTCACTCAAAATGGAAACCTCAAAGCCCACATGAGGATTCACTTAAGACCGAACAGTTTTATGTGTCATGTGTGTGGAGTGAGTTTCACGGACAGGAACGAATATAAGAATCATGTAACAACTCACACTGGAGAGACATGAGAATTCACAGTGAAGTGAAGCCTTTCACATGCTTCCCTGAGGAAAGAGTTTCAGAGTCATATGAGGCATTACAAGCCATTTACTTATCTTAAAGTGCTAGTTCACCCAAACTTAGTTAACCCTCAAGTAGTTCCAAACCTGTATGAGTTTTTTTCTTAAGGCTGGAATACATTAGACGACCTTTAAAATCTAAACAAATTTTACAAACACTAGGCATCATACACTTACCTATAACTTTGAAATAGTCAACTATAAATAGTCAATGAGAAAAACTGGCCATCGTACACTAAACCAGAGTGTAAAGTTGTTCTGATCACAACAAACTCAGAAACATATGTGCCTTGTTCCTAGTAGTCGTGTGACCAGTGTTGGGGAAAGTTACTTTTAAAAGTAATGCATTACAATATTGCATTACTCCCTAAAAAACTAATTACATTACTTAGTTACTTTTTATGGAAAGTAATGCGTTATATTACTTTTGCGTTACTTTCGTGTTACTTTTTAAATATGAGCAGGGCTTGATTGTTTTTAATATAAGAAGTTCTATTTATAGCAAATATAAAAGCCCTTTCACACCAAAAAGTGTAATGAATAAACCTCAGGCTGAAGCAAAAGTCAATTCACGTCTGTACAGTAGAACGCAGGAGAAGAAACACTCTTCAGCAATAAAAAAAACTAAGCACAATTGTTAGTTTATCTAAAGTAATTTTTGCTTATTAGTATGCTTGAACTGGATCATCAAAGGTCAGCAGCAAAGACATTGGTTAATAAAATGGGATTAGA